CACAGCCATTCAGACCCGACCAAGTAAACACAGAGACTTACATTGCTTACAAACTGTATGGCCGTGGCAGGCTTCTTGCTAACTGTTCTTACAGCTTAAATTAATCCATTTCCATTAATCTATGCCTTGCCACATGGCTCATGGCTTACCGGCATCTTCACATGCTGTTTGTCATCATGGCGGCTGGCAGTGTCTCTCTGACTCAGCCTTCCACTTCCCAGCTTTATTCTCCTCCCTGTCCCGCCTATACTTCCTGCCTAGCCACTGGCCAATCAGTGATTTATTTATTGACCAATCAGAGCAACACATTTGCCATACAGAACATCCCACAGCACACTTTGGCTGTCTTTTCTTTGCCTCACTTCTTTGTAAAAAGCCTGCTACATCTTAACCTGTCTTGCAGAATTGTGGACTACAGTGAGGTGAGCACATGAACAGTGCTTATAGTAATGCATAGTGATTATGGGTCCAGAAAAAGTAAGACCTGTCATCATTTTGAAAAGAATGTTTCCAGTCCATACTTGGTAGTTTATGCTTGTAATTCAACACTTGGAAAGCTGAGGCAAGAAGTCCACCATGAGTTCAAGGCCAGCCTGGACCACATACTGAATTCCAGACTTACCTAGGCTACAGAGTTAGATCTCATCTTAAAAACAAAACAGACCAAGGTTGGATAAAGCACAGGGACAAATAGCCAAACGAACGGAAACACATGAACTATGAACCAATGGCTGAGGGGGTCCCCACTGGATCAGGCCCTCTGAATGGGTGAGACAGTTGATTGGCTTGATCTGTTTGGGAGGCATCCAGGCGGTGGGACCGGGTCCTGTGCTCATTGCATGAGTCGGCTGTTTGAAACCTGGGGCCTATGCAGGATTGCTTGGCTCGGCCTGGGGGGAGGGGACTGGACCTGCCTGGACTGAGTCTACCAGGTTGATCTCAGTCCGCGGGGGAGGCTTTGCCCTGGAGGAGGTGGGAATGGGGGGCGGGCTGGGGGAAGGGGAGGGGGGTCGGAGGGGGGGAGAACAAGGGAATCTGTGGCTGATATGTAGAACTGAATTGTATTGCAAAATAAAAATAAAAAAAATAAAAAATAAAAGTAAAACAAACAAACAAACAAAAAAACAGAACAAAAAAGATTTCCTTATGTGAGGACTTCAGAAGCACTTCCCAGATAGGTTGTAGTGCCCACAGAACTTTGTTTTTATTTGCAAATGACAGTAACAACAACAAATAGGAGCCATTAATGTAGCTCAGAAGATGAAAGCATTTGCCATCAAGCCCGAGGACCTGAATTTGATATCCCAGAACACACATGGCCAAAGGAGAGAACCAGCTTTACACGCTATTCTCTGACCTCTTCACTTGCACTATAACACACATGTATACACACATGCACGCACACACACATACACTAAAAAGAAATGTAAAAAACTTTTCTTAATGGTACATTGCTGTGGAATGTCTTTCTGTATGCTGTGAATATGTGTTGCTCTGATTGGTTGATAAATAAAGCTGTTGGGCCAATGGTGAGGCAGAATAAGGTTAGGTGGTACATTCCAACTGGGGAGAGAGAGAGGGGAGAGAGAGAGAGAGAGAGAGAGAGAGAGAGAGAGAGAGAGAGAGAGAGAGAGGAGATGCCAACTGCCGCCAACCGCCACCAACTGCTCCCAAAGGAACAACATGCCAGTAGACGAGTAAGTCACAGAACACATAGCAAAACATAGATTAATAGAAATGGGTTAATTTAAGATATAAGAGCTAACGAACAAGAAGCCTGCCATAGACCAAACAGTCTGTAAATAATATTAAGCCTCTGAGTGATTATTTTATAAGTGGCTACAGGACCCCGGGGGTCAGGCAGGACTGGAGAAACTTTCCAACTACAGTATATTTCTTTCTATCAGAGTAAGTAGCATGTTTTTCCTTTTTCTTTGAGCATCAGAACTTTGATCTAAGTTTAATTCTTTCTGTCCTGGGGATGTGACTCAGTTGGCAGAGTGCTTGCCTAGAATACACAAAACCCTGTATTTGATTGCTGGCAGTCCACTGTGGGCATTGGTGGCACACACTTAAATCCCCAACACTGGTGGCCCAGGGAGGAGGCTCAAGGTCATCCTCAGCTAAATAAAACATATATATGTATATGTTTTAATTCCTTCTTTTGATATTAATAATTATTTTATTTTTTCTCTGTGTTTATAATCAAATCCCCTTATAGGAAAATATTATATTTTAAATAGCCTGTAAACATTATTAGTAAGAGAAATCAATTTTGCTGGGCGGTGGTGGTGCACACCTTTAATCCCAGCACTCGAGAGGCAGAGGCAGGTGAATCTCTGTGAGTTTGAGGCCAGCCTGGTCTCCAAAGCGAGTTCCAGGAAAGGCGCAAAGCTACACAGAGAAACCCTGCCTCGAAAAACAAAAAAAAAAAAAAGAGAGAAATCAATTTCAAATGTAGAGGTTTTGTATAAAAGTCAATAATCTTAGATATTCTGTGTATTTCATATAATATTAGTCTCAAAGGGTTTTTATTAGTTTTTTTTTAATTTTAGGCCCACAAAGAAAACATCTAATAAAAATAACAAGGTAATGTAAAAATAATAAAAACTGGTATTTGCTTTAAAATACATTATAAAAGTAATGATGTATAAGTTAAAAGATAGAAAGATAAAGTGAGCAAATAGAGGACCTTGTTATGGAAAGACATTTACCTTAAAAAAGAAAGAAGTAGTAGCTGTTAATAAAAGCGTACTTCTGCCAAGGGTCAGCTCTTTTAAGAAGTGTCTGTTTCTGCTTGTATAAAACATTATTGCAAGCATAATGTAAATATTAGAGAAACAGTTTAAAATAGTGTTTATTTTATAGGCCAGAAAACAAGTATCTGCTGTGGATGACCTTGATGCCTGGAGTGAGTCATCTGAAACAGTCTCTGAGGACTGTGAGCTCCAGTGTCCTGATTATGAGAGCGTTTTGTGTGAAATTGAGCATCTGAGGATGGAGTGTAGAGGTATGATCACTGTAGAAATGGACAGCTTTCCTGTGTATGGTAATGTGTGCACACTTGCTTAGCACTGACCCTAGAACACCGATGGGTGGCAGTGCTGGCCTTGTCAGAAATATGCTTTATGTTACAACAGTATGTGAGCTGTTCAGTAGTCATTCTCACTGGGCTTTTCTTCATGGGACTGACACATCCAGTCTTTTTATTGATCTTGCTTTTCTTCTGTGCCTTACTGTCACTGGTGAGGTTACCTGGTGTGTGAGCTAGTTATATGTCCACTGGACACAAAGCTAGAGTCATCGGAGAGGAGGGAGCCTCAATTGAGAAAATGCTTCCATAAGATTCACCTCTAGGACATTGTCTTAGTTAGTGATTGATGGCAGAGGGCACAAAGCTACTCTGGGCTTTTGCTGAGCAAGTCACAAGGAGCAAGCCAGTAAGCAGCACCTCTCCATGGACTCTGCATCACTTCTCTCCTCCAGGTTTCTACTCTATTTGTGTTCCTGTCCTGATGCCTTTGATAAAGAACAGTGATGTGGAAGCATAAGCCAAATAAACCCTTTCCTCCCCAAGTTGCTTTGGTCATAGTGTTTCATCACAACAATAGTAACCCTTAGACACCTGGTCTCTATCTAGAATACTGTAGAACTAGAGAACTGTTTCCCCTGCTACCCACTTCCTGCAAACATGGTCTCTTTTTTAACTGTAATTGTGTAGTTGCAGAAATTCGAATCTGATCATATTAACCCTTTGCTATGAGGTTAAATTTCTCAATCCTTTAGTTTTCTCCTGACTTTTCTGTGTCCCACTTCTTGTCTTAGAAGTTTGCTCTTGCAGTATTTTGTTTTACAGCTTCAGCAAGGCATATTGATATATAAACGTTATTTGGTTAGTTTCAACATATGTATTAAACATATTTAACCACCATAATCAAGGTAGTTAACAAACCCATCCCCAAAGCCTCCCCATTTCTCCCATGCTCCTTATTAAGAAGCTGACAGGTGGTTCCCCGGCATGTCCCTGTTCTGTTTTCCAGCCCACAGGACAAGAGAGATCCAGTGGCTCTGTCTTCACAAGCACTGCTTGTCAGTATTTTAAATCTTAGCTATGCTTATAGGTGTATGCTATGTATCTCATTACGGTCTTAATGTGCCTTACACCGCTAGTAAATATGGAGCATTTTGCATGTATTTCTTTTCCTTTGCTATGATGAACTCCTTTCTGATCTGTATCCATCATGTGGTAAATTGTGTTTGTCCAGCCTGACTAAGCAGAATAGATATTCTTCTTGGTCCTGTGGGCACACCGGGTGAGATTTCATCTAACCTTTTCAGATGTTTTATCCTTGTTCCTGTAGTTTCTTCCTATACGTCCATTATTCAGTGCTTGGCTAAGTACTCCAGGAGCCTCTACATACCTGCAGGCTCTTTATCTATGATGCTCTCTCCTCTCTGGTCTGTTGTGATCTCAAGCTGTCTTGGTTTATCAGACTCTGAACTTAATCACCTCAACTCAGCAAGTCTAGGGAGCTCTACTTGACTTCCTTCTCCTGTGAGAGAGACCTGGGACATTCGTGGAGTTCATTTACTCCATCTGTTAGGATCATTGTCTTGAGAATTATTTGAGAGGTTTTAACTGTGTTCATCTGAGTAGGAACATGGCTCCATAGCTGTTCCTCATCTTGGCTGAAAGCAGACTGAAAGAGAGGCTCACTAAATGCTTTGTGTTTTCTGTTTGAAATCTAACATGGACTATTTGACTGAGTTTAGCTCAATTTGCTTAACATGAAGACATCCAGGTCTACCCAGTTTCATTCAAAAACCCTGGTGTATAATTCTGTATTTTCTTTTAAGCTGAGAAAGAGCAAGGGTCGCACCTACGTTATTTGCAGAGCTTAGTGTAATGTGTTCCATATTGTAAACACTTACTGTATATTTCTTCAGTGTATAAGTGAATGAATATAAAAATGCAGTCTTTTCTTTTAATATGCTCACTCATTTTATTTGTCTCTTATTTTTCCCCTGATTCAGATATTGTTAGCCTGTTGAAAATCTGGGATGCAGTTTATTCATATCAAAGATTAATAGAATTAAAAAAAAGCCACTGTGAACTACTTACAGGAAAACTTCAAAGAATGGAGAATAAATTTAAGGAATTACAGAAGGAAGTGTCAGAAACAAAAGAAGTAAAGTCACAGTTAGAGCATGAAAAGGTAGAATGGGAACAAGAGCTCTCCAATTTGAGGTATGCTGTCTTGGTTTATTTATTTATCAAATTTATGTCCTCTGACATTCACTTACACGCGAGCGTGCTCATGGATGTGTGTGGAAGTCGTGTGCTGACTCGGGAGAGTCAGTCTCCTGCCATGTGGGTCCCTGAGATCCAGCTCAAGTGTCGGGCTTAGCAGGCTCCTTTCTCCACCAAGCCATCCCCAGCTGTGATAGCCCAGCTTTAAAGGGACGTTTTCACTGCTTAGGATACAGAGATGTACTTGAACTTTGGCCTATGTTGACATGTCATGGAGTTGGCAAGACAGAAAATTTCTTAGTCTTCTCAAATGTGAAATTCTTGCAAATAATATAGTGAACTTAACTATGAATTATTCTAGGAATTAAACAAATATTCTACTGTAGATTCCTAAATCATAGTTTTAGTGGCTGTATGAAAGCAGCCATTAAAAAAAAATAAAATAAAAAATAAAAACACCTCAGTATTTATTGATCAAATAACCTTTCTTTTTTTTTGTTGGTTTTTTTTTTTTTGAGACAGGGTTTCTCTGTATTGTTCTGTCTGTCCTGGAACTTGATCTATAGACCAGGCTGTTCTTGAACTGACAGAGATCCACCTGCCTCTGCCTCCCAAGTGCTGGGATTAAAGGTGTGTGCCACCACTGCCCAGCTGATTAAAAAACTTTTAAAATTTGTTTTATATTAGAATACTGATATGAGTTGTTTTCTATGTAATTGTTTACTTTTTAAAGAATCTTCAGTATATAATATGAACACTTGAGCTCATCACACAACCTCATGATTTCTATGTAATATTTACATAGAAATTACAGAGAGAGGGAGGGACGGAGAGTGATTTTGACTACGTTTATTCCTAAATTGTATCATGCTATTGTGAATGAGGTTTCCCCCAAATTTCTTTGTCAGGAAGCTCATTACTGGCATATAGACAGACTGCTAGTTTTTATATGCTGATTGTTATATACAACTACTTTGCTGACAGTGTGTATCAGGAATAAGGGATGAGCTTTTCCCTCAGCTACTCTAAACCCTGCTGCCTTCCCAGGAACACCGAATGTGCTGCCTTCAGAGCCGGCCCTCCTTCTCCCATAACTACCCCATACCTCTCCCTGGAATCTCCCCAGGACCCTGCTACACGAGTCCTAGTCAGGGCCTTCCCTCCTCTCACAGCCGCTCTAAGCCCCACCACGTTCCCAGGTCTCCCCACTGCCACACAAGGTGCCCGCCTTAGCTTATTATCCTCTTCCCTCAGCCACCCCAGACACTCAGCCTTCCCAGAACCCCCTCCACATATGTCTCTAGAAAGGGCCTTCCTTCATGTTCTAGGGGTACCCCAACCCCACTGCCTCCCCAGGACCCATTACCTTTAGAGGTATTCCTTTTATCATCCCTTGGCCACCTCAAACTCCTGCCCTCTTCCAGGACTCCCTCCATAATGCTGCTAGTAAGGGCCACCTCCCCCCTCCCCTACCCCCCCCCCCCCCTCTACGTCTGGACCTGTGCCTGACTCTACCTTGAAGGCCCGCTCTCCTCTCTGGGCATCCCAGCCCCACCTCCCCGGACTCCAGTCACCCACTGCAGACCGAGTCCTAATCTACTTCGCAACTTTCACCCTCTCCTTACTTTTGCACTAGAAACCCACCATTCTTGGGCTCCCGCCACTTGCTTTGCAGGACTTCACCTCTTGCTTTGTAGGTTGATCCCCAGCCCTCCATCCTGGGCATTCCACCTCCATCATCTGAGGATCTACATATACTTCCTGCTTGCTCTGCAGAGAGATTGCCCACTGTGCCCTCTGGCACGCAGAACTGGCCATCCCAGGATCCCTTTGCGGCTCTTGCTTGCAAATAGATTCCCTGCTTCTCCTGCTCTTGAGCATCCATCTCTACTGTCTGAGAGCTTGCTTTCTCCAGATGGAAAGCCTTCACTCCCTCCTTTGTCTGGTGTTCTAATCTTACCACCCAAAGACCTGCCAGGAGCATCTGTTCATGCCACAGAAGGTGTTTCCCCCGTTGTCTTGCTTAAGGTCCCTCATAACTCGCTTAAGCCTGTCCTGTCATGGCATGTGCTAATCATCACCCCTCACCCCAAGATGAGAGGCCACAGCTCTGCCTATTGGAGTCAAACCACCACATACTAGGACCCTCCCAGCTCCCCCAATACAAGCCACATCTTTGCTGCACCAGCCATCACAACTCTGCTGTCTCACTCAGCACCTCCCTGAAACACCCTCCTGCTGGACAAGAGCCCACAACTATATGGACCTTTAAGTTTTCACAAAGTCTCAATCCACTACAGAAGACCCACTTACTCTCCAGATCAGAGGACACATGCTCCGTGTTTTCTACTCTGTCTAATTCAGGTGCCAGGTACAGACGCATGTTGAGGTTCCTGGCTGATTTGGAATTGAGTTTTGTGGAGGGTGAGAGAAGGATCTAGGTTTTTCTGCATGTAGGTATCCAGTTTGACCAGCAGCATTTGTTGATGATGCTGTTATTTCTGCATTGTGTATTTGTGACATCTTTGTAAACAGTCAGGTAGTTGTAGGGGTGTGGACTTGTATCTGGTCCTCATTTCTACTCCCTTGTTCACTGTGTGTGTCTATTATGGCTCTGTAGAGCAGCTTGAAAGCGAGAAGAGTGCAAATGTTCAGGGTTGTTTGGCTCTCCAGGGTCTTTTGTGTTTCTGTGTGGATGTTAAGATTTTTTTTTCATTTTCCATGAACTGCATTGGAATTTGGAGAGGTTGCATTGAATCTTTAGATTGCCTTTGGTAGGATGGTCCTTTTCCAACATTGGCCCTACTGATTCAAGTTCAGGGGCGTCGGTCTTTCCACTGTCTGCTGCTTGTTGAGTTTCTCTCTTCAGGGTCTTCAGTTGCCCATTGTACAGATCTTTCACTTGTGTTGTGGGTTTAGTCTGTTTGTTTAGGCTGTTGTGAATGGGATTGTTTCCCTGACTTCTTTCTTGGTATGTTTGTCACTGTATGAGAAGGGGACTGGTGTTTTGTCTATTGATTTTGTACCTTGCTGCTTTGATGAGCATCTTTATAAGCTGGAGGAGTTTCCTGGTGCAGTCTTTAGAGTCTTTCATGTCGAGAATATTATCTGTCAATTCTTCCTTGGCCACTTGTATCCTATTTCCCTCCTTCAGTTAGTTGTTCTGACTTCCAGCTCTACAGTGAATCTGTATGGAAAGAAGGGATATCTTGATTTTAGTGGAAATATCCTGATTTTAGTGGAAAAGCTTCACTTTTCTCTCTGTTTGCATGTTAGTTGTGGGCTTGATGTGTATGGTCTTTCTGTGTTGAGATGTAGCCTCTGTATTCCTAGATTCTCCAGGACTTTTATCATGAAAGGATGTTAGAGCCTTTTCAGAGGCCTGTTCTACAGGTCTTGAGAGGAGATTACACATAGGTCGAACCATCCCTAAATCTCTGGGATGAAGCCAGCTTAATCATGGTGGATGATCTTTTTGATGTGTTTTTGAATTTGATTTGCATGTCTTAATGAGAAGTTTTGCATTTGTGTTCATCAGGTAGACTGATATACGTATAAGTTTCCTTTTTTGTTTCTTTATCTGATTTAGGTATCAACATAGCGCTAGCTTCATAAGGAGAATTTGGAAGGAAATTGCCTTTTTTGTTATGGAATTGGGTGAGGAGCGTCAGTTTTAGTTCTTTAAAGTTCTGGGAGAATTTTGCAGTGGATTCATCTGGACCTGGATTTTATTGCTGTTTGGTCTCATTGCTTGTGGTAGATCTTTTTACGTTTTAAAATCTCCTTTTGGTTTAACTTGACTATGACATATACATTATGAAATTCATCCATTTCTTTTAGATTTCCCAATTGGTGGAATAAGGATTTTGAAAATGTATCCTTACAACCCTCTGAATTTCATTGGTGTCTGTCATAAAATATCCATTTTTTATTTCTAATTTATTAATTCAAATCTTCTTCTTTTGGTTAACTTGGCTAAAGCTTTCTCAATCTTGTTAAGCATTTCAGAGACCCAGCTTTTTGTTTCACTGGTTCTTTGTATTAGGATTGTGTTTCTATTTCATTAATTTCTGCCCTGATCTTGACTGTTTCTCTCCATCTAGTGTTCTGGGATGCTTTTGTCTTTATACTTCCAAGCTGCTAAGGCACATCATTACGTATTATTTGTCTTCCGCTGTTTGATTGTTTGTTATGGAATCACTTAGAGCCATCAGCTTCTCTCTCAGGACTACCTTCCCTGTGTCCTGTAGATGTTGATATGCTGGGCTTTTGTTTCATTTAATTCTAGGGAAGTTTTAATTACTTAAAGGGATTTTTAATTTGTTTTACCTTAATACAAAAAACAAACAACAACAACACCAAAAACCCAAGATTCCTCAAAGGTGTTCCAGAAAAGCCATTCCTCCAAGGTTGCTGCAGCGGTCGCTTCCTCGGCCTGCACTGGCTGTGATGGTGTCAGTGTGTGCTGTGGGCGACATCGGAAGGCGCTTCCTAAGCTGCAAGTGCTTAGGGAGGCCTGAACTGCTTCATAAAGATAAAATTCTACTTCCGGTACAAGGTGTGAATTTAAAATGGTGCATCTTTTAAACAATTAAATAACTTTAAATAGTCTATTTTGATTATAGAGTAATTACAACTGTGTAAAAAAGATACATTCCATTTTTTAAAATTTTAATTAATTTTCACGTGTGTGGGAGTTTTGTCCACATGTATGTCCACATGTATGCAGATATGCATGTGTGCAGTGCCTGCTAAGGCCAGAGAAGGGTATCAGGTCCCCTAGAACTGTTGCTAATAGATGCTTGTAAGACACCATGTGGATGCTGGGAACTGAGCCTGGTCCTCTGGAAGAGCAGCCAGTGCTCTAACCACTGAGCCATCTTTCTATCCCTACGGAAGACAGTTTTCAACTTGTATGTTTACTGAATAAATTCAAAATTCCTTTCCAATAATATTTACCAGACTTCTAGAAATTTGATGAATTTTATTCATCCTTGTTATCATCAAGAACATATGGGCTTTAGAAGAGATTGAAGTGAGAAATTAAACTCATGAGTCATAAAAAGGAACAATTCTTTAACAACCGTCTTGAGGTCCAGGTCACAAAGTGAACTTCATTTTGTATAATCGGGTTGATTTTAAAATAAACACGTTTAATTTCAGATTTTCACTGAAACAAGAGGAAGAGAAGCAGAGAAGCGCGGATCAGCTTTCTGAGAGAATGATGGAGCAGCTTAGGAGAAAAGATGAGCAGTATCAGAACGAGCTTGAAGGGAAGCAGCAGCTTGAAGTTTCTCTCAGAACATTGGATATGGAGTTGAAGACAGTGAAAAACCATTTGAACCAGGTAAGTTTATCTTCTATAAAAATTTCTTTTGGGGGACATTTTTGTTTGGTTGGTTTTGGGGGATGGCATGAGGGGGTTCGTTTTTTTGAGACAGGGTTTCTCTGCATAACCCTGGCTGTCTGTGTAGACCAGGCTGTCCTCTGCCTCCCAAGTGCTGGGATTAAAGGCGTTTCTGGCTAATGCAAATTTCTTATTCCTACCTTTATTTGTTGTACTTTTAAAATCACTTTAATTACATATTATATTTCTACACACACATCACATATATATTTCCATGTACCACTTAATGAGAATATCTTTTGGTTTCATTATTGTACAAACGTCATGAGCATGTCAGACATCAACCTCATCACCACTTCATATAATTGTGTCGGGCTGCCAGAAATATGCAGTCCATTGTTGACCAATGGTGTCTCATGCTAAGAGTCAATTTTAACATAGATAGCTGACATTATTTATTATGACTCTTGGAAACTGATAGGTACTGCAGACATCTTTTCTGAGTGAGGTAATAGAAGGTAAGTTAAGTTTACTCTGGAAAATTAAGTGCTAGTCTAGCCCTCTTAAAATGCAGACTTTGAAATTGTGTTAAAACTAGTTAAATGTTTGTAACAAGCTAGTTTACAATACTCTTTCTGCATGTAAGAGCTGTTTTTGCTTTGTAAGCAATTTAACTATAATATGCAGTACAAATTTGAGTGTTTCGTGTGGGATAGAGTTCCTCATGTTTTCATAGGCTGCTTCCAGTTTGTTTTTAATGTTCTACTCTTAAATAAGCTTTTAGATATCCCGTCCACAGCAGTCATACTATCACAATAGTATGAGACTGAAAACTTCATGAAATGTATTTCTAGATTTCAGAGGAACGAAATGAAATTCAGAGACAGCTTTCCCAAGAACAGAATGCCAGAGCGTTACAGGATGGGATTCTTGCAAATCACCTTTGTAAACAAAAGGAAATAGAAATGGCGCAGAAGAAAATGACTTCTGAGGTATTTTTTTTAGTTTTCTGAATATGTGTGCATTTATATGTTTACATACTTTCAGAACCACCCTTATGCACCATGGAAAGCATAGAAGATTTTGAACCATGTGTGTGTATACATAATACACATTTTGGGAGTAGAAGGCAGAAGCTTTCTCCTACTGTCTGACATAAAGGAGTAAGTGCTTTGGTGAAGGAGCACTGGCAGCGGGGGCGGGGGGGGGCAGGGAACCTGGGTTTCTGTAGCTTGTTGCATTTTAATCTCTCCTTTTCAGAGTGGTGACTAGTTCACTCGTGTCCAAGCATACTTATTTGTATGGTGCTTATTTAAGCATTTATTAATAAATGTAGTTCCTCATTTGGGACCTTGAGACACTACGTATTTGCCTTTTGTGGTCTTCACAGGACTCTAACAAGAGGCTGGAGGAGACCAGCACTAAACTGCTCCTGGAGGAACAGCAGAATAGATCGTTGCTAAGCTCTCTTAGTACACGGCCTGTTGTAGAGTGTCCTTGCCTCGGAGGCCTTCATAATAGTTTGGTATTCAACAGGACTCTTATTCTAAGAGAAAACATAGTGATTCCTACCTCAGGCCTACAGCTATTAAATAAAAGAATGGAAATCTACCTGACCGAGGTTAGTATATAGCTTTTTTCCTTTGGGTTCAAGTTTCTGATAAAATTCTTACTTTTAATTTAATACACAATACTGAGATGTTTTGTTGGCCTGTGCATACTAATGTCATAGTAATTTATGCTAAAGGAGAAAAATTGTTAAAGTTCCCAGAGTTCTCATTTCAGCAGGTGCTCACTGTTACTTGGTTCAGGGAATGTAGCTAAGCCAGCACATTTCTTTAAAAGTTATACTTAAGCCGGGTGTGGTGGTGCATGTCTTTAATCTCAGCACTAGGGAGGCAGAGACAGGAGGATCCCTGTGAGTTTGAAGCCACCCTGGTCTACAAAGTGAGTTCTAGGACAGCCAGAGCTACACAGAGAAACTTTGTCTAGAAAAAAAAAAAAAAGAAAAAAGAAAAAAAGTTACGCTTAAGTTAGGTTTGGGAAATTAAATATGCTTGTGACTATAGGTATAGTTTGACATATTATCACACACCTAATGACAATTTTCCTACAACATCCTAAGTTTCCATTCAAATGCCAAGAGAATGGGTGCCATCCAAATTCCTATATGTGGATATTTATGATTAAAAGGAATCTGATGCAGATACTACTTATTAATTAAATGTGTAACATTGAATAAGATTAATTTCTAAGTTGAAAATGTTCCACTTTCTTTCTTAAACATTACAAATATTCAACTCATTTCAGATGCATCAGGAATTGGAAAAAAGTATAAATAGAAAACTTAAAGAAGGTATGTACCAAAATTTATTAAGTTTAGATTGACTAGTTTCTGAAATTAATTAAAAATATTAAGTGACATGATTTTTCTTGTTTGTTGAATAGATTTTTAATTATTCATTGTCTTACACAAAATTAAAGATGTGAAGGTATTTCTTTCATGGTTTAATGCAGCAAATGTTTATTCCTTCCATGTTTGAGAATTTCCTGTATAAGTCACTGCATCATTTCCACCTTTGCCCGCTCTAACTCCACCCATGACCCCCCTTCTCAGATTCATGGCATCCTCTTCTAATGTAGGCAGCCTGTAGGCCCAGTTAGTGCTGCCTTATTTGCCTGTTTTTAGGACTAACCACTTAGAATGAGGTCTCATCCTTGGAAAAGACTGGTTCTCCCTCTCTGAGCAGCCAGTGACTGCCTATAGCTCTTCATCTGACGATCGGGCTGGCTGTCTTAGGTTTCTATTGCCGTGAAAAGACCAAGACCAAAAGAACTTGGGGAGGAAAGGGTTGTTTTCATCTTACACTTCCATCACTGAGGCCCATCAGGAACCTGGGGTCAGAAACCGAAGCAGAAGCCATGGAGGAAGGCCTCTTACTGACGGTCCTTCTTTCTTATACAGCTCAGAGCCACTTGCCCAAGGGTGGCATCGCCCACAGTGAGTGGGGCCCTCCCACGCCCGTTGTTAATCAAGAAAATGCCCCTATCAGATTTGACTACAGGCCGCGTGATAGGGGCATTTTCTCAATTGAAGTTCCCTCTTCCCACATAATTTGTGTCAATTGGACCAGAAAAAAAAAATAAGGTCAGGGGCTTTGTGTGGGTTTTTCCCTCCATCCTGGTAGCATGCCAACTGATGGCGTCTTGTCTTTGCAGATACTGTGGAGGTAGCCATATTGTTGTAGTTTATGGATGCAGCATCCTCATCCTGTCCAGAAGTCCCTATGTCAGGGCAGGTGTCAGGACCTCAGGCCTTACTGCCTTCTCTTCCGTGATGGTCCCTGAGCACCAGGTGTCGGAGTTGTGATATAGATGTTCCGTTTGGGGATAAGGCACCACATAGCCCCTTATTCTCTACATTTTGACCAGTTGTGGGTCTCTGTAATAGCCTTCATGTGCTGCAAAGAGAGGCTTCTCTGGTGACAGATGAGAGCTACACATGTCTGTGAACATAAGGAGTCAGAAGTCTACAAGGCACTTGGAATCTGTAGTACTTTAATAACATGGTAGTAGTGGGTTCTCCTCTGAGGCCTGTGACCTGTCCAGCCACAGGTTCTTGGCCAGGTTCACAGTACCAGGCAGGAATTCCCTCCAGTTGAGTGGCTCTAGGTTCAAACAGACACTGTTGGTTGCCCCCCGATACAAATGCCACTGTTGCACTGTTGGGCTGTCTTGCCTGTGCAGCTGTTGTGGTTCTCGGGCTTTCCAGCCAGGCAGGGATGCTGACAGCTGTCTCCTTTGCAGGGATGCTGACAGCCGTCTCCTTTGCAGGGATGCTGACAGCCGTCTCCTTTGCAGGGATGCTGACAGCCGTCTCCTTTGCAGGGATGCTGACAGCCGTCTCCTTTGCAGGGATGCTGACAGCCGTCTCCTTTGCAGGGATGCTGACATCCGTCTCCTTGGCAGGGATGCTGACAGCCGTCTCCTTTGCAGGGATGCTGACAGCCGTCTCCTTGGCAGGGATGCTGACAGCTGTCTCCTTGGCAGGGATGCTGGCAGCTGTCTCCTTGGCAGGGATGCTGGCAGCTGTCTCCTTTGCAGGGATGCTGACAGCTGTCTCCTTTGGCAGGGATGCTGACAGCCGTCTCCTTTGCAGGGATGCTGACAGCTGTCTCCTTTGGCAGCTTATGTAGTACCTTCTGACACTAGGAGAAGCCCTCAGGTAGGAAGCTTTCCAGTCAGATCCAGCTCAATTCGGCTAGTCCTCTGTCCTAAGTTTCCAGTGTCTTTGGCAATGTGGGCTTAGCTGAACCTCCGGGAGGTAACCAAGGACCACATCAAAGGTCTCTTTTGTTGTAGGGGGTCACCATAACTACACTGAGCAACCATTCCAAAGGAGGTTTCTCATGACTGTTACTGGAGTTCTTGTTAATCTGTGGTTCTTGTGGGAAGCGCTGTCAGCCTCCTTTATGATTTTATAACACACACACTTTGGTAAATATAAATATGCTTCCTTGAGGCTTTATCAAACAACCTGGTGTTTGTCCCTCTCCTTTTGTATTAACCTTCTTCCTCCTCCCCGTTGGAGCCCCTCCCCGATATTCCGTTTCCCACTTCCTGTCACCTGTATCCTGCTGTTCTCCTCTCGATCTTCCCCACACCAACATGTGGTCCCTTTATACTTCCTTGGTTATTGGTTCCTTTTTTGAGAACTCTGTTAAGATCCATAGCCCATTTTTAATTGTATTATTGGTTTTCTTGACTCTTCGGTATTTGAATATTCTGAATATTAATCCTCATCAGCTGTCTGCTAAGATTCTCTCTGTTCCGTGGGTTCCTCTTTACTTCATCGTTTCCAGTGCTGTATGGAGGAGGCCCAGTTTGTCAGTTGTTCCTGAGCAAACCAAATCCTATTCAGAAGTCCTTTCCTGCACGTGTGTATCTTGTAGGGTACTGCCTGTGTTTTCTTCCAGCACTTTCAGGTTTTACATTGAAGTCTTTTACCCATTTGGAGTTGTTGTTGTGCAATGTGATAGAGAATGATCTAGTTTCATTTTCTAAGTGTGGACATCCAGTTTCCCAGCACCATTTGTTAAAGATATTTTCTTCCCTCCAGTGTGTATTTTTGGACTCAAATATTACGACTTGGTTTCAGTGGTCTTCTGCTGCACTGGTCCACATGCCTCTCTGTGTGCTGTGCCATGCTGTTCTCAGCACTATGGCTCTGTGATGTAATCTGTACATGATTGTCGGGAATAGACCATATCATCTCAGCTTGTCATTTCTGTGCTTCTTACAGTAGCTTTGTCCATGATTGTTGAGTAAAAGAGTCAACTCAGACACTTTGATATTCACAATGGTAATTAAGTACACACCTGTGAGCAAGTTCAATTTAGTTATGATTGTGTACTATAGTTACACATACACATTACCAGTTCAGTTTCATCTCTTTGACTGACGTTTGCTTAGTTAACTGTGAAGTCTTTGATATGTATGTATATATTCCTTTCTTTCCAGCTGCAGCTGAACTTGAATCTGAGTTCTGCAGAGTTTTTCCCCTTGAATCTGCTTCTAAATCAGGTCAAGATCTAGTCTCAGAAGAAACGCAAGAATATATAGACAATTTAAAGAAAAAATACAGGATCTGCTGAACTTAAGAAGGAAAGAAAGAGAGAAAGAAAGAAAGGAAGGAAGGAAGGAAGGAAGGAAGGAAGGAAGGAAAGGAAGAAAAGGCGTGACAATAGAAAAAGGCGTGACAGTAGAAGAGGGGCTGTGTGGGAGGAGGACCAAAGGAACAGAGCACCAGAGACGACAAAGGGACGTGCACTGCGTGTGTCCTAAATGTCGCAGTGAACTGGTGTGGTGGCGCACAGCTTCGACCCCAGCCCTTGGGAAGCAGAGGCAAGTAGATCTCCTCAGTTCAAGGACAGCTAGGGCTGCATGTCTCACACAGAAAAACAAGGTTATCATGAAACCCACTATTTTGTGCAAATAATACATATTAATATATGGTCTAAAATATATT